TAAAACAAGCCGTAGAAGTCATAATTCCAAGCACTGGAGGAGCTGAAAGACCCTTTTCTATCAAATGCTTACAAAAATAGTGGTTTTTCACATTATGCACCAAAGAACAGGAAGAATTCACTGCTTGCTCCCTCTTCGGATAAAAGGAATGGTGACTAAGAAAACTGGCTAAAGATAGGTGATAAACATTACCATTGAAATCTACCTGATGACTTTATATCCATACTCAGGTGCCAAGGATCTGAGTGTAACTGACTGTGACTAGTAATTATCAGATACATAGAGATTAAAGACACATGTGCAAACATGTAAGTGTTAGTAGCATTAAAAAATGAGTTTTTCTGTAGGAAACAGTATATTTTAAAATAAAATGGAAATCTTTTTTAAAGGTTAAAACCTCATTCAAATTTATGTCTTATAGTGTTTACGGGGTTTATACTGAGTTCAATATTGTATAACTGTATTAATTCAACTGTGAACCTAAAAATTTACAGCCACTTTTGAAGGAGATGTATCTTTGCTCTGGAAATTGGTATTGAATATGTTAAAACTGTAATGTTAAAGCTTCTTCTAATCATGTGGTTATTAAATAAATAAAAGAAAGAGAAAAAAGAAAATGAAGTTAACACACCTGTATAACCAGGAACAACACCATCATCAGGCCATCATCCCGTGACCTGCCCCATAACATGGTTAGGAAAACTGATTGCAACATGCTTCATTTTGAAGTCATTTGGGCATTTTATTGGTTTTCAATTATTCACTGTCATTAACAGTATTGAATGTGTAGTCTAGATTGCTTTTTTACACTTGATTTCTAAATGAATTTACTAGGTTATTTAAAGTATCTAAGCAGTTCTAAACCATTTGATCTATATTGTCAACAGTCACTGGAAATTTATGGTACTTTTGGAAGGCCCTATATTACATTGTAGAAAGTTTGCTTGATCTTATTGAACTCCAATTGTCTCATCAGTGAAATTGTAAGAATAAACGACATGAATATTAGACCTAAAAAGCATATAGCATGTCTCTTTTCTTTTCCTATCTTTCTTCCCTTTTTGCTCTTTCTCCTTTGAAATTTTCAAGGTATAGTTAATTCTTGCTAGACTTTCCTTTTAACATTTTGGCTGCTTAGCATTATTGAAGCATGTTGCAAGGAAAAAACACTGATACTGACTCCAAAGCTTTGTCTCTACTGGCTAGCTTTCATAGTCCTGGAAGGTGTGGTGCACGCTAGCCAAAGAGACAATTAATCATCACCCTTACCCAGCTGTGAATCCTGCCTGCTTCAACAGCAATTGGTCTAGCAAAATTTGAACTCTGGCGCAATAATGAAACATAATAGCACAAATAGTATGCACATAACAAATCATTTTCTAATTGGATATAAGGTCAGCTTCATAAGATACAGCCCATTCCTGACATTGCTATCAGGCCTATGAACATGTGGCTAGACAGGCCAGAGGCCATAGGAGAGAGCCAAATACTATTATTTTGCTAAATAGATAAAGTATTAAAGTGACTCCCTGGGACTGAAGGATGGCTCAGCACTAGCTGCTCTTGCAGAGGACCCGGGTTCAATTCCCAGCACCTACATGGTGGCTAACACCCCCAGTTCCAGGGGATCTGACACCCTCTTCTAGCCTCTTTGGCACTGCACAACATGACTGCACTTACATATGTGCAGGCAATACACTCATACACATAAAATAAAAATAATAAATAAAATATTTAAAGTGACTCCTAATGACTGGAACTATGCTGGAAGCCTCCTCCCTGAGGACTAGCTATCATAGTATCAGAAGGTGCTATCCAAGCTTCCAAGGAAGAAAAGCAACCAGTACTCTACCTAGCTGTGAAAGCTATGAGCCACAACCATGACCAGCCTGGCAAGATATCTTGAATGGTGCAATAGTGGCACTTCCACCTTAGGGGTAAACAACAACTGTCTAATTGGACTTCGGGCCAGCTCAACAGAAGGTAATTCATGCTTGGTACTGGAAACCCTGCCAAACGCCTATAGCTGGAAGGTTATAGGCCCTAGAAGAGAGCCTACTACTGTGATTTTCCTAAACCAATATATTTTCTAACTACATTCTAAATACTTACACCCACAGATAAATGTAGCTCTCATCCTTCATCAAAGAATTTCATTTTTGAAACAGATGGAGACTATTACAGATACCCATGACTGGTCAAAGTCTAGTGAATAATTGACCATGAGGTGCTCAGCACCAACTGATACATCTACAATTACAAATTTCACACCTAAGGCTCAGGAAGCATCACGGAAGAGGGGACAGAAAGAGCCAGAGGACAAGGATGCCTGCTGCTAGATAGTGTTTACTAGACATGACAGAAAAGTTACACCCATGAAATCTCAAAAATATGGTTTCCTAAACAAACCTGCATAATGACAATATCAGTTGACATGCCAATGTGGATGAAGGAAATTTCACAAGGTCTCACCTTTAAGACAAAGAACTATGGGCAATTAATGGCTATTGAGAGAGAATCCATTTTCTCCAGGGACAAGACCCCTGAGAGGACACTAAATGGACTCAGTAGAATATATTAGATAGATGATAAATGTATAACTAGATGATAGATAGATAGATGATAGATAGATAGATAGATAGATAGATAGATAGATAGATAGATAGATAATAGGTATGTAAACACACCTATGTAGTAGCAATAATTAAAGAAGAAGTTACAAAATTGAGAGTAGCAGGGACACAGGAGGAGTTGGAGGGGAGAAAGAGGAGAGAGAAGAAGGGTGGAAAGATGTAAATACAGTAGTGGTGTATGAAATTATCAGAAAATAATTATAAAAAAGAACAAAAAATTCATGTTTTGGGGTAAGGTCTTATACAGCCCATTTGCCTCAAACTTGGTATGCAGCTGAGGATGAACTTGAACTTCTGATCCTCCTGATTCTATTTCCGAAGTGCTGAGACTATAGAAATGTGCTACCATATACAGTTTTCTGCAGTGCTGGGGATCAAACCTAAAGCTTCCAGCATATTAGGTAAGTACTCTACCAACTGAGATACATTTTCAGGCTAAATTATGTATGTATTATGAAGTAAATTGCATTCAAAGAAAAAATGATACATGAGCCAGATGTATGCCTAAAATCCCAGCACTTGAGAGGCTGAGACAGGATAACCAAGAGTTCAAGGCCAGACAAAACCTTGTCTCAATAAAATAAAGAAAAGGGCTGGAGAGATGGCTCAGTGGTTAAGAGCACTGACTGTTCTTGCAGAAGACCCCCGTTCAGTTCCCAGCACCCACATGGCAGCTAACAAATGTCATAACTCTGGTTCCAGGGCATCCAACGCCCTCTTCTGGACTCCGTGGGCACTAAATGACATGGGTGCATTTACATTCATGCAGACATTACAATCATACACATAGAATAAAAACAATAAATATTTAAAAAAAAAAAAAAAGAAAGAAAATAGGATCCGGGCATGGTGGCACATGCCTTTAGTCCCAGCACTCTGTGAGTTCAAGGCCAGCCTGGTCTACACAGTGAGTTCCAGGCCAGATAAGGTTAAAGGAGACCCTGTCTTAAAAAGACCAAAAATACAAAAATAAACAAATAAAAGGAAAAATCAAAAAAGAAAAAGAAAACAAAGGGAAAGAAAGAAAAAAATTTAAGAAAATGGTGTACGTACAGGAAAATACTTAAAAGCTAAAATAGTATGCCCAATATGCTGCTAACTATGCAGGAATATTGTCATAATGATCTTCATACATTATATATTTATTTATTACTCAAATTAACTGCAGTGCAATTGTATTAAGAATATTAATTCTTAATATTATATTTTAGTGCATATTTGAGTCCTAGGCATCATCATTGTAGGTGTGTACATCATTTTTTCCAGTAACAGTATATCATTCCTGATATTTATGTAGTTCATTGTTCTTATTTGTCAAATACTTTATACTAATCCTTTAACTCAAGGGTCAGCAAACATTTTTTAGAAATAATTTTTTGTTATTTATTTAATAACCACATAATTAGAAGAAGCATTTCAGTACAGCATGAAGATATTCAATAACAATTTCCAGAGCAAAGATGCATCTCTTTCAAAATTGGCTGTAAATTTTTAGGTTCACAGTTGAATTAATACAGTTATACAATATTGAACTCAGTATAAACCCTAGTAGACATAAAATTGGATGAGGTTTTAACCTTAAAAAAGATCTCCATTTCATTTTAAAATATACTGTTTCATACAGAAAACATTTTAATCTGGTCAGAAAGTAAATATCGCAAACTTTGATGGTCATGTAGTCACTGTACCCTATAAAGCACCCACACACAATGCTTAAATAAGTGTTGTTGTGTCCAATTTATTTACAAATAGAGAGGGAGATGCATTTGGCTCACGGGCCATAGATTGTTGGCACTTTAACTTCTTAACAAAAGTAAACAAAGATCTTTTTTGCCTCCACTGTTTAATTTCCTCTCTAATAACCTTAATAGATATTAACGCTATTTTACAGAAGACAAGAACAAGAGTCAATGAAGGGAAATATCTTGTCCAACATCACATAGCTTATTAAATCCACTGCACATGGATTGCCAAATTTCTAAATGCTGGAAAAACTGTACTGAAATGTGTTAGTTTTAAACTCTAGAGGAATTGTTCCTCAGAAAAATCTTAATAAGGATCATTTTTAATACATCCGTTTTTCATCTATTTTCATGCTTTGGATGATATAAAGAAAAGCTTCCCTGCAGACTCAGCCAACAGCCTCAGTGGAGGTTCAGGAGATGTCTGGATTGCTGCGGCATGTGAGGAAAATAACAGTAACAGAGACTGTTTCATTAACAATCCTAAATAGCTTCCCAGGGGCTTGGGGCTAGACCAGGAAAGATGAAGAGATCCATGTGCTGTTCTGCATCCACAACCCAAAGAAGCTGATTGGTCTCTGGACTGCTTATAGAGGAATATAGCCCCATGCACCTGAAGACTTACCAATATTAATCTCATCATCAGTCAGAGTGTCCCCAATGAAATCAAACTGAAATGACTGCAGTGTCTGGGAGAATTTCTGAACAGCTGAGGAATAATCTGTAAAGGAAGAAGACAGTAGAAATAGTCACATTCCTCATTCCTCATCTCTCTTAAAGCAGATAGGGTAAACACAAAGGGACAGCTCTAGCAAGTAGCAAATTTTTTTTGAGAAAGTTAAGCAACTTTTAATGGGTATGTTCAGAAGAAATTGTGAGCAACTAAAGCTGAAACATAGAAGAGTCCTGAACATTTTGCAGCATGTTCTGAGCCTCAGTCCTCCTCTCTGGCTTGAAGCAAAGCTGAACTCTTCAAAAGGACTCCGTAAGAATTTGTTGAGCCTCCATTATAACAAGTGGGCCAAATGATTTCTCATCTTGCATGAAACAATATCTACAACCATTCTAGGAAGAAACAGTAATCACCATTCTATACATGTGAAATTCAAAACTCTAGACATATCTGGCATAGCTGTTTCTAGGAGACAGATCTTTCTGTCTCTCTAGGGCCCATTCCATAACAACATGGGTACTACCTGGATATTTTACACACTAATCAGATGGTAGTTTGGATCAAGATACTGTTATCAGAGTTAACAGACAAGCCTAAGGAAGCAATGAATGCAAAAAGTCAGTATGACATGACCAGATAAATGCTTTTATTTTGTCCCAATATTTTTGAATTTGCATTTGCAAATATTCAGTGATGGTATGAAATTAAATCACATTTATTGACATCAGAGAACTTACTTTTATTGATTTTTTTTTAACTTTTAAAGAAACTTTATTGAGAATTTCATCCATGCATATAAGGTGTTTTGAACAAATCCAAGCCCACTCCCTCCCCTCCAACTCCTCCCATATCTCCCTATCACTTTTTTCTAAAAACTTCCTTCCTTCCTGTCTTTCTTTCTTTCTTCCTTCCTTTCTTTCTTTCTTTTTTAATTATTTATTTAATAACAACATACTTAGAAGAAGCATTTCATTACATCAGCATTGACATATTCAATAACATTTTCTAAGCTAGGCTGCATCTCTTACAAAATTGGGTGTACATTTTTAGATTTACAGTTGAATTATTACAGTTATACAATATTGTACTCAGTATAAACCCTATAAGACATAAAATTAAATGAGGTTTCAACCTTTAAAAAAGATCTCCATTTCATTATTAAAATACAGAGTTTCATGCAGAAAACTTTGGAGCTTTTTGCTACTCTATCATTCCTCCCTTTGAAGAGGTAAAATATTGCCTTCAGCAGGGAGTTTAGCAAACCTCTTGATCCTTGCTACTCCCAGAGTAGGTCTCAGACCAGCAAGAGTATCATCCCCTAGGAGCTTAAAGGAAATGCAAATGACCACTCCAATCTAGAGTTACTCAACCAGAAATTGTAACAGTACAACACCAAGGGAATCCACATGTTCTTAAAGTTTTGAGGGCAATTTCTGTCACCAACTAAGCTGCATTAGGACATTTAAGAAAGCTCAAACTTTCCCTATTTCTTCTCTTATTTTCTGGTTTCATCCTCATAGTCATGATTTGCATTCACATCTAAGACACTGAGGGTAACAGAGCCTCAGAGTTTGTTCTTAGGTTAAGGTAAATGAAGGTAAATCTTCAACAGTGTCTATTCCTTCCAATAAGCAGACATCCCAAAGCTGGGTATGAAGACACATACCTATAATCCCAGCACTCTGGAGGCTAAGACAAGAGGATGATAATTCTGTCTGGCCTATATAATGAGATCCTACTCGGCACTTATGCAAAAAAGCAGGTATGGCAGCCTGTGCCTGAAATTCTAGTGCTGGGAGGCAGAGTCAGGTGGAGATGGGCGCTTGCTGTCAAGCCGGGGTAGCAGAAATGATAAGCTTTAGATTCAGTGAGAGACTCTGTACCAAAAAATAAGATGGAGACTGATCGAGGAAGCCACCAGATGTGTACTTCCCTGTACTTCATAGGCACATGCCTGGGTATATGAGTGAGCACCCCCATATATATGAGCAAAAACATAACAAAAAAAAATCTGTGAATAGGCTTAAATTAATATCTCTTCATCACAAAGATTTGGCCTTTACATTGAAAGAAATGCTAGAGAGGAAGGAAGGAGTGGAGGGGGGAGGAGGAAAGCAGGAAGGCAAGCAGGAAGGAAGAGCAGATTACGTTTTGAGACAGGGAATTTGCTTTACAGTCCAGAGTGTCCTTGTCCTCCAGATCCTCCAGCTTCAGTCTGCCAAACACTGGTGAAAATATGCATGAGCCCCCACACCCATCTAAGACCCATCATAGATTTTAGATAAATAAAATAAGAGGTATTTAGTCTCCCAAGAATCCACGAATAACCTAGAAATGCTTGTCAAGTGTGGGACACTCACGTCCTTATCATCTGAAAATCTGCCATATTATTCCAAAACACATGAACTCATTATTTTATTTTGCTTACTATGTCTGAATGTCACTGCATCATAAAAATTTAACATCTCTGTTCTAGAGCACTATCTTCCAAGCCAAACAACTGCCATCTTCGGGGGAGTTCAGTTGTGTCTGTTCACCAAAGATTATCATAGCTGGACTTTTTGTTGACTGTTGGTATTTCCCCATGGGATGAGGTGGGAGAATCAAGGGACCTCACCTGTGCAACCAGCCACTCTTCCTAATTGTTGCAATTCTACCTTAATTGCATGTGGCCTCAGGGTTTCAGTGAAGGCCTAGAGCACATAGGCTGAGAAGGAGTAAGGGAAGGGGCTTCATCTATGTGGTCACACGGAAACCAGCATCTATGCTGGGTGAGGACTTCTCAGTGTGCCCGCTTTTGCTTCACCCACACTCCTGCCCCTAAGCCCTCACCGGTGCTCTGGAAGTAAGCCTGATAAATTCATTCATTCCCTGCCGTGAACTTTGGTGGTACTGAACTTTAGTTTGTCACTGGGACCCTAGCAAGAGGAGGCTGACATTGCTTAGTACCCACCCAGGGTGAAAACTGTAACAACAATCTCTTTGAGAGTTTTCCTCCATCACCACCATCTTATTGATATATGCATCTTCTATGTTCTTTTTCACCATACCCTTACTCATTCTAGAATGTGCTTACAATATTTTTTAGGCACTTAAACATGTTCTGGGAATGAACTAGCATATGACAAGGACTAATTAGTTAATGTTGCAAAGACAGCAGTCTGCTTTTTATTACTACTGTGATATGGTTTGACTATGTCTTTGGAGGGTGCATGTATGAAAATGTAATCCCCACTGTTAAGTATTATGACAATGTAAATGTAATACAGCTATGGTTTTAAAAAGTAAGTCATTTTTTAACTTTTACAAAAACTTTATTGAGAATTTTATACATGCATATAAGGTGTAATGATCAAATCCATGCTCACCCTCTCCCCTCCAACATTCCCCCCGCTATGAAGAGGTAACCCTAAAATCTTTTAAGGATACAAGCTCCCAAATACTTTTGACATTTTTGGCCTTTGGAACAGAGTATGTTGCTAAAAGGCCCAAGGACATATTGACTTTTAGCCCAGAAACTGACTACATTTCTTTGGGGTCTTTTTACCCTAACTGCCTAGCCAATTTTTAACTCCTATTCTTATCATGTCATCCTCTGAAGGGGTTACCCAAATTACCAATAGGGACGCAGGGAATAGGGACGCAGACCACTCTGGCTCCTTCCATGCTGAACAGGGACGCAGGGTGAGGCGATTGGAGTACCTCTTCAGTGGGTATATCTAAAAGACTCCCAAATTGCATAACTCTTGTCTCTAAGGGGAAAAGAAAGTCCTTGAATCATGAATAGGAGATGTAAAGGAGAAGTAAAGGCAAGAGTAATTAGCATTACAAGTTCTAGAAAGGGAACTAGAAAAAAGAACAGGGCAATTTTCAAATGTTCATATGAGAGCCCATTGGAGTTTCTTAACAAGGACTTCAAAAACATCCCTCCATTGGGTTCCTCCTCATTTTTCTTTTGTCTTCCAAGGCAGGACTCATTGGCTGGGAAGAGTGGCTGGATATTGAGGTGGGGGTCCAGTGACCCTGCTTGGCACTCCTTTAATGAATGAGCACAGCCATCAACAAGCCCAATTGTGATTACATTTAGGGATCAGGCTCAGCCGAAGTCTTGATGATAGTAGTTATTTCACACAGAAGGGACTGCTGTATAGCATCATCTTATTAAAATGACCTGGAATTTAAAAGGATTTGATGCTAGGAGCCACATATGAGGGAGAACATACATCATTTGTTTTTCTGAGTTTGTGTTACTTTATTTAGTATGACACTTTCTAGATCCATCCATTTACCTGAAAATTTCATTATTTCATCTTCCTTTACTGCTGAATAGAACTCCATTGTGTAAATATACCACATTTTTGTTAACCGCTCATGACTTGAGGTTGCTTCCATCTCTTAGCTATTGTGAAAAGAGCAGCAACAAAGGTGGTTGTACAAGTGTCTCTACAATAGGATGAGTCCTTTGGGTATATGCCAAGGAGTGGTATAACCGGGTCATATGGTAGGTTCATTTTTAGTTTTTTAGGAGTTCTCCACACTGTTTTCCATAGAGACCGCACAAGTTTGCAATCCCACCAGCAGTGAATGAGCGTTCCCCTTTCTCCACATCCTCACCAGCATTTGGTATCATTTGTTCTCTTGATCCTAGCCAGTCTGATTGGAGTAAAGTGATACCTTAGGATGGTTTTAATTTGCATCTCCTTAATTACTAGCAATGTTAAACACCTTTTTCGATGTTTCTTAGCCACCTTTATTTCTTCATTTGAGAACTCTCTGTTTAGATCTTTAGCCCATCTTTTCATTGGGTCATTTGGTTTCTCGGTTCTTTGCCTTTTGAGTTTTTTTATATATTCTGGATGTTAAACCTCTGTCAAATGTGTCACTGGTGAACACTTTTTCCCATTCTGTGGGTTTTCTCTTCACTGGTTTGATTGTTTCTTTTGCTGTGCAGAAGCTTTTTAGCTTAATGAGGTCCCACTTATTGATTGCTGACCTTAATTCCTGAGTGACTTCTGTCTGATTTAGAAAATCGTTTCCTAGACCTATAT